TTGGTACTCGTTTTGTGGTCCGTTGATGATGGTAATGATCACGCAGATGATGACTATAAATTATTTTTAAAATATTATCAGCACTTCTGACGTATATTTCTTATTTTGATGGAACTTTGATGACTTTTACATTATATACCTTCACAACAATTGATTTTTTGGAAAATTAGATTAAAAACATTTTGCGTTGTAACAACTGAACTTATTAATCAACATTTAATATTCAAAGCAGATCAAACATTCTAAAAGACTTCCCTCTCTTACTATATCGTTATTTACATCTATCTAGTCTAGCATGTTATTTTATACCACGTTGTGGGCTTTATGTTTTTCGTTTGTAACTACATGGTTTTTAATGTACATAATTATGTTGTTCCATATTTCGTCTTTCTGTCTTAGGTTGTGCCTAGCAAATTTCGATTGAAGTTTTGCTACTTGAGTTGAAACAACTTTTAACTTGGTTTTTAAATGATACAAATGTAGCTATTTCTTTTTTATTTGATCTTCAGCATTCGCCTTTTTATAAATAGTTGTATTTTCCTTATCTTCTTTCCGTTGTCTTTCATAAACTCCCGTCACACGTATCACATGATATTGGCAAAAGAATCTAATGCAGTTGATATTGTTTTAAAAATATTGCTCCAGCATGGTATATAAAACAAACATAAACGTGTATTGCAGTTCAATATATACCCCATATTTATATTGAATATATAATCAATATTTAAATTACACAAAAATCGAGTTAAGTCCAATATTTACATAATTTTTACAGCAGTTTTGAAGCTATTTTCTTATGGCATATTAACTAAATTTACTATTTTTATTGGGAATAAGCCATACATAACTAATTTTCAAGAATAGACGGAAGGGAATAAAAGAACTTACAATGTTGATTCTATAACTTTCACAAAAAATAATAAGAGTAAAATAATAATACCATACATAAAAGCATTCTTGGAAAAACTTAAAGCGATATGAAATAAATTCAATATTTGATTAACATTCAAAACAACAACCAAATTGAGATTATTTTATCTAAAACTAAACCTAAACATGAACAAGACAGAACAAAGAACTGTGTTTATAAAATACCTTGTAAATGCGATCATTTTTATTAAGGTGAAACATCAAGACCATTAAACATCAGTCTTATATCAAATAGAGAGAATTTGATAGATCTTAAATAAGTAAACAAATGAACATAGAGTTGAATAAAAAGATTCAAGTATAGTGTTTAAAGAAACGAAAAGAAAGATTGCAAAAAGAGAAAAATCAAAGAAGCGGCTCTAATTATTATGTTAAATGAAACCGATCGTTTCGCAAATTCTTTGACAGAGCGCAGTAGAATATGGTTACCAATATTAAAAAAAAATCAATAGAAATAAAATACCACTATTATGGTAATAATAGTGGTATTACCACATTATACCTCTATATGTCAATAACATATAGAGAAAGATACATCATTTATGTTTTAAAATAACATATAAAAAAATCAGAGTTTGGTGTTAATATTCAGAGTAATGTCGGGATAGTATCATGAGGATTTTTTTCATGATTTACTATTGGATCTTACTAACAGGAGAATTTTACTGTCACCATTGCATGTAGTTGTCTTTTTAAAGACAAATCATATGCTATGATTTTTTGACTGGGATTCTTAAGTTAAAGTTGATTTCATGTAATCGAATGAACTACCTTCAAGTAAAGTCGTCCCAGGAACGCAACTCAAAAATATTGACAATATCATTTACGTTAAAATGTTTAATATATGTCTGAATTGTGAATATGAGTCAGATAAAGTTAAATTATTAGAAGAATTCTTACCAAGTAAAAAAAACTTGTTTAATTTATTAATGCTTAATATTTTGAAATCAATTTCCGAAGTATAAATCGAAAAATCAAATAAATTTTAAAATAAGATTGTGGCTTATACCAAATGAAAATAGCAAACTTTTATAGCAGCTTTTCGATCTTTCTCTATAACCTATCAATAATATAACCTAAATTAAACAAATATTCACCTCAGACTTTTTTATTTATTTATATTTTTATTTATTTTTCACTAATTTCATTGCCTTTTTAATGTTTTTCTCCATATTAAAAATGCTATTAGATGTTGCCAAATTAATAGCTCTTTTTGGAAAAATTGGTGGTGGTTTTTATGTAATTGTTAATATAAAAAACCCAGGCTTTTTAGCAAGGCTTGCTATAAACGCTCAATTTTTGAAAAGTTTGAAAGTAATCAAACAATATTTAAAAATATATATGGTCAACCTAAACCAAATTAATCTAATATTGGTGTTATTTGAAATATCAATATTTTTGTGACATGTTTTGCAACTATGGCGTTAATACAACAAAGACGTTCTTGGGCCTATGTTGATGTAGCTTCTTGGGCCAATAACAATTTTTATTCTAGGTACATTTTCAAAAGTCCATATTTATTGTTGGTTCAATACAGAGAAATTAGATGTTATTGGAACAATCAGTTTCTTTCTTGGGATGTTTGAGAGTTGTGTCTTAGAGCCAGTAGTACATAGTGAATAGTGGCTTCTAGGTGTTAGGGGTATTTTTTATTCATTAATGTAGAAGATGCTATACTGAATGCTACCGGCTAGTTTTCTACGTATTTTTACTTCTTCGGTCTGATTTACCTAGCTTATTTATACGATGTATTTATTCAGTTAACTATTCTATGTTATTTTGTTCTATAGCACATTAACTGAAACATTAGCAAGGGTATTGGAAAAAATAATTGACGGAAAAAATTACAAAAAATACGTTAATGTATTAAGAATTAATCAGTAAAACTATCATATTCAGGAATAAAATCACGCAAAGCGCTAAATATACAAAAATATTAATTATGATAAACATCTGAAAGACATATTAACGAGATTGAAGTAATAATTATTGCAGTAGATAGCATGTAATGAAAAATGTTAATTTTTTGTTGAACAAATTGATATTAGTTAAAAAAATGGGATATAAACAGAAACTAAATGATGAATCATGAGAATGTTAGCATTTACACAATCTTAATTGTCTTATTTTTCGTTATTTTGGCTCTAAAAAGTAAACTTGTTAAAATAATTTATATTAAAATTACAGTGGGCATAATAATACCATAGAAAGATTTATTACAAAAAAACAATATTGTCTGAATAGTTATTTTGCTAAGTACTTCCCTACTATCATAGATATATCACTTTTTGGCAAATTGTTAATTGCAATAATTAATTATTGATGCTTTGGAGTAACAACAAGGCTAGAGTTTATCTTGAAGTTCTTAAATACAAATTTTTAATGTTAAAATTCAAAATATGGTAACGTGTCATAAATTATAAGAAATATATTATAAGAAATTATAGAAATCCACTAATTAAAAAAATAAAATATTCCTATTCCTATAAAGTCAAATTCCTATTACAGCACCTATTATTTATGCTTTATACTACAACACTGTGTTTATTGAAAATAATAAATCAACAGAAATATTCCTATTATCAATTTTTATTTACCACTTCCAGTAAAATTAAATAAAATTGTTGAACAAAACACACGTTCAGTTACACAAAAGCGCAACAAGTGCCCAGTTACAAAGTTAGGAAATCACTAAAAAACAATAAATGGAATAAACTTTTAAATCTGTGTTAATTTTTTAAAATCATTTGTTTACTTTTTTGACCAATATTGCAGGAATTTATAATGGGTTAAAACTTAGCGACAAACTTTAAATAAAAAGAAAAATATGAACAACTTTTTCCCATTTTTTATTGCTCCAAATGCTCCAATACGAAAGCAACTTATGAGTAAAAATAGCACAGTTTTTATAATAAAAATATACAATTACGTAAATTAAATAATAAACATTCTTGCACTCATATCCTAAACAGAGATAACAAAAAAAAGTAATATAAACACTGAACGATACTTTTATGCATAGAGATATTCGCCCCAATTGAAAATAATACAAAATATTGTCGAAATAACTCATCCTTAGTAATACAAAGAAATAAATATTGTATGTTAGGAAAGCTCCTAAAGTTGTAGACTAAAATGTGCAGATATAAATTGGATGATGTAAAATTGTAAACACTAAGTGGTCAAATAAAAAACAAACAATATTAGAAATAAACAGAAATTCAAGCCATATTAAAGAGAAAAATGTTATATACATGAAAGTGAAAGATTGTCAAATAATAGAAGAAAAATGTCAGACATTCCTAAAAGAAAGAAACGGGGAAAATAGGTCGGTCGAGCAAAATTGATACTCTAATGACCTAATGCAAGAAAATATTTGTTTTATATATTTAGAGTAAAAAGTGTAATTATTGCTGGTATTTTGCTTTATTTAATTTATTAAAATATAAGCCATTCATAGTGGAACACAAATAATTTTTTCTAAAAGATCGCGCAGAAACGTTATGCATGTAACAAATACCTATAGGATATTTTTTTACATATATGGTCTACATAAAAATTGCAAATATTCTTTTAAAAATATCTGCATATATAATAGCCTCATTAGTAAACTTTTACATTCCTAGCAAATTCAAAGAAGGTTCACGGTATACTTTGAAGTTAGCAATTCACAGAAAGTTTGAGTGGGGTTACATTTTTGTCTTTACTAAAAGTATAACAAGCTTCTATTGTTTTTCTGTTGTAAAAAATGATGATAATTAGCTTTTTCTAAATAATTCTTGTACTTTATTTGACAAAATAAATTTTTGAACGATTTAAGCAAAATTTAAGGAATATTTTTTATTTACTGCACTTTCTTTAGTTTATAATGTGTGGCAAGCTTCTTATTACTTTATTTGCAATTACCTTATAAATTCCATAGCTATTTAAAAATTACTACTATCTCTTTTTAGTATATTAAAAAAAATCACTTAACTATTTAAATTAAATATTAAAAAGTTTTATAAAAATTCACAAAAACTTTTAAAGTAAATACACTTAGTGCATATGATATTAAATATTATATTTTATCATTTCCATATTTTAGACTAAAAACATTATATAATTATATAAAGTTTTTTATAGCCAATTTGACTAAATATTAAAAAGCACTGTTAGAATATAATACATTTAATTTATATTAAAATATAAAATTAATGTACTACACAAATAAATACTTTTTGAGTAGATTGCGAGGAGATCAATCGTCTACATCAAATATTGAAAATAAAAAATTCCTTAAAGGGTAGAGAGTTTTACATTGTCAGATAAGAAAATCTGGAAAACCTACCTTTTCTTCTTGAAAGTTTTCACCGACGGATATGGGGGTGGGTGGCGTGGAGGGTGTCGTCCCCCGATCCTCGTCGTTCCCTCTTTCCAGCGACCTTGAACTTTCCGACCTCAAATTCTCCAAATGCGCTTTGTACTCCCGAAATTTCAAGTCATTTAAGTCCCTATTAACGTCTCTATTAAAATCTCTACTAATATCACTATGTCTCATATCACTGCCGTCAAGCCTCAGTCTATCCGTCAATCTGTCGTTAGTGTATCCCATTCTTTCGTTGTTTAAATTCCTGTCTATAGAATTTAAATTTCTGTCCATCAAAGCGCGGTCATTCATCAAGCTCGATCTATCATTGTAATTCCTGTCGGGATTTTGTGAGATATTTAAATTTCTGTCTAAATTCTGCGTAAGACTTCTTTCTAAATTAAGTCTTTCTATACTGAGACTGTGGTCCAAGTTCATGCGTTGTTCTTGCATGGATCTTTCATTCAACAGGCGTTCCAAACTTCTCTCCTGTTGCATTCGCTCCTGTAAAAGTCTGTCCGGGTTTAAACTTAAATTCAACTCGAGACCGTTGGTCATTTGATTACTTCTATCATAACTGCGATCCTGATGGAGATTGAGTCGAAGATCAACATTTCGGTCTCCGAGCCTGTCCCCGAGGGATCGTAACGTGTCGATTGACCGCTGAAGATGGCTATAATTCGTATTATTTTCCAGCAACATCGGAGGATTGTGAAAATCCAATCCCCCTGTGCGGTAATCCAACCTGGACTCCAGTTTCGCTAATTTTTAAATAACTCGACAAAAGTACATAAAACACACTTTTCTACACTCTTTCCTCTCGAAAAATAAAAGCACTATAGATTATGCGGTGGCGGCGGTGAGTTTGAAAAGTTGCGACCGACGAGAACGCCGCGGCAAAAAAACAAAACAAAAAGGTATGAAAAAAGCTGCGCTCTGATGGATAGTAAAAAGTACACTAACAACATGGCATATAAAAACGTCGGCATCGTTCTCACAGGCAGCATCATCCACGGCACAGCAGACGGCCGGCGGGTGGGGGTAATTTCGAAAGGAGGGAGTAACTATTACGTAATACAATATAACAAGTGAACGTCGTCTGCCTATTCAACTTAGATGGGTGCGTAGTGGGGGGTGAGAACCCAAAAGCGCGCTGGACTTGGATCGTCCTCACCGAGTTAGAAACACGGCTCGGTAGAGCTTTTTTTCAGACGGTGTCGACTGGTTTTTTTACTCTTTGGCGTTTATCGGCACGCTTAGACGGCAAAAAATCTTTTTTGTGAACTTCTGTATTTGGGTTTTGCACTTTTTTGTTTACCGGTAGATAATAGGACTCGATTAGTAGGCATTTATCATTTTTTCATCGCTACCGAATAACATAAAAGCATGTTATTTGGCTGTTTTCTTTTTTAAATCTCCATTTTTTAGCATTTATTAATATCTTTTTGATGTCTCTAAGCTTTTTTTATTCTTATTACAATTAAAACATGACATATTATATTACGAGAGCACGCGACTTAATATTTAAATTTCCGTTTTTATAGTCACTAGTTGGCAAAAAATATTTACACTTATTGATGCTATATAAAATGAAAAGAATATTCAAGTTATAACCTATATATGTTTAAAAAATATATCTTAGACATTTTTTGGTGTTTAGTTTGATTTTTGTTTGTTTTTAGGATATCTATTATCTTTTTAATCTCTCGTTTTTGGATATCGATGAATAAAGAACATATTTTCACTCTAATTAGTTTTTATTATTTAAATGGGAATAAGCCACAATTAAAGGTTAAAGTAAAATTTTTGACGTTTCAATTTCCACTTCGGAAATCGTTCTCAAAATTTCCGAAGTGGAAATTGAAACGTCAATAAATTTACTTTAACCTTCAATTGTAGCTTATTCCTATTAAAATAGTTATTACTTTAAAATGCCACAAGAAAATAGCTTCAGAACAAGACTAATTAATTTTGTCCCACTAGTCGCACAATTTCTCGTAACTGTCTTTTTGACAACACACGCAAGATGCTAATAGTTCTTTTATATAGGACAAATTTTTCAATGGAAAAAAAAATAGTCGAACATTTCGGGACAGAAAACGACTGTTTAAACATATTTATATGGTTTTTAAATATTTTATTTATCTGTAAATTATTTACATACACATGCATATAAAAATGCTTTTTCGATGTTACTATAGCTGTTTGATTTTTTGTTGAAATGCTGCAAAAGTCTAGGTGGAATGATTATTGACGTCTTTTTAAAGTTTCTCTAATAAGATTCTTCCTTTGAATTACGCATTTTTCTTTTTTTTTTGTCGGGAGACTTGGCTTTAGTTATTTTTATTGTTCTCGATTGTTCTCGATTTTTAGATTAATCTTTCCAGTTTCTGACTGTCATTAATTTCATATTTTTAATAACTAGTTCTTTGCATCTATGTCTTTTGTGATCTTCCTTTTAGTGTGTCTGTGTTTGGTTTCCTTCTGGTTATGGTTTAACTTTCTTAATCAGGGAAATAAATTATATTCGTCCCTTGTGCCCCATCCATCCTAGTCTCTGTGCTTTTTATTTCTTTTCTCTTTCTTTGTAATTCTTAGTGTATGCATATTTCTTAGCAAAATTCATCTCCCAAATAATATCAAACTTTCTTCAAAATTACTTCAGGAAATTGGATATTTTATTTTGTCTTTTTAAAGACAAATTGCATGCTATGATTTTTTTCTGACTGATATTTTTAAGTTAAAGTTAATTTCATGTAATCGAATGAACTATCGTACAATAAAGTCGTCCCATGAACGCAACTCAGCCATATTGGCAATATAATTTTTTAGATTCATCTACTTTATATAATGTATGTCTGAAATGTCAATATAAATGAGTTAGATAAAATTAAATTATTAGAAGAATTTTTCACCAATTAAAAAAAAATAAAAATTAAAAATGCTATGGGAACCAGGTAGGCACTTTTTGCAATTAACATCATATTACAAAAATGCTGTGACCAAAGAAAATATGTATTTGCATGTTTTGTGTACTTAGAAAAGGCATTCGATGAAGTACAGCATGTAAAATTAATGCAAATACTAAAAAATATCGAAATAGATGACAAGGATGTTTGTGTCCCAGAGATAACTACACCGACCGAAGAGTCACACAGGGTTGCATTTTGTCGCCAACATTGTTCAATGTTTACTCGGGCCAGTTATTTATAAAGACACTTGAGAGACAACCACATGGAACAAAAATCCACGGGGAACTACTTAATATGATTAGATATGCAGACGATACAGTAATTCTGTCAGATAATATTCAAGGTCTCCAACTTCTGCTTGATGGTATTTACGAAGTAGGAGAGGAAATGGGCATTAAAATAAACTCAAAGAAAACCCAATTTTTAGTGTTTAGTCTTGACGCACATCCCGCTGTAAAGCTTCAATTAAACGGCGTCCAAGTTGAGAAAGTTCATCAAATGACATATTTGGGACCTGTGATAACGGACCAACTAGATCCAGACATAGAAATAAAACATAAAATAGCAATGACTAAAACTACTTTTATGAAAATCAAGTAATTTCTTTGCAATAATCATCTCAATATTGTTCTGAAGCTATTTTCTTGTGGCTAAATTAATTACTATTTAACTGGGAATAAGCCACAATTAAAGATAAAAATACCTTTATTGACGTTTCAATTTCCACTTCGGAAATCGTTCTCAAAATACAAATGGCTTATTCCCAGTTAAATAGTAATTAATAATCATTTCAGTTTATAACTAAGAAAAATAATAGTTCGTACTTTTGTATGGTGCAGAAGTGTGGACGCTAAAAGTATCGATCATAAACAAAAGTAAAGCATTGAAAATGTGGGTTCATAGACGAATGCTGAAGATACCTTGAACAATAAGGAAAACTAATGCAGAAGTACTAAGGAGCGTCAACAAAGATAGAGAACTACTAAAGACTGTTAAACATCCAAAAATGTCTTATCTGGGACATATAGTAAGGGGAAGTCGACATAAAATATCACAACTGATCCTTACAGGCAAAATAGAGGGCCGTAGAGGTGTCGGAAGAAACGGGTTTCTTGGTTGAAGAACATTCGTGAATGGTCTCGGATATCAAATGCGGGACAATTGTTGCATATTGCAGAAGATCGAGAAGCCTTCGCAATGGTGATCGCCAAGACGAACAAAAATACAAAATGTGTTTAACTTACTAATGTTTGTATTTTGGGAACGATTTCCGAAGTGGAGATTGAAACGCCAATAAACTTATTTTGTCCTTCAATTGTGGCTTATACTCATTATAATAGAAATTACTTTAAAATGGCACAAAAAATTGCTACAGAACAATATTTATATTTTCTGTTTTGTACGTCTCATTAACTTACTGTTTGTCGGTAGTATGCGGTATATCCAGTAGGTTTGCTTGTCCTCTAGCGAAAAGGTATTTTCTTATAGTATTCCACAGTATTCGTATCCAGCTTTAATACCATAAATATTGTATTTATATGAATATCGTAGTTCCTTTGATGGAAGGCATGGGGCAAGGTGTCACTATTTCGCCAATCCCAGTTACATTTTAGTTAATCTGTTTAGCTTTGCTTGAATGTCTTGGTTTTTTATTTCCTCTAACAATTATTTACAAAAATATTATGTATTGAATTATAATATGATTTTCCTATATTAGATCAGATAAAATAGGAATTCCAAGGAATTCCATTATATTGATAATTTATGCGGACAATGTAATGCAGGAAATACTAAAAGGAAAATGCAGTAAAGATTGGAACTGGAAAGACAGTCTATTGATAACCAGATATAATAAATATTTAACAGGACAAAAATTAAATATCTAGAATATTGTCTTGAAATCCACAAGGAATCTACGTTCCTGTAATTGGCTGTATACCACGATTTTGGACCACGAGATGGTGCAGCGAGGGGTAGGACATGGGAGCGCTGTTGCCAGTTTGGATTAAGTTCGAACAAATTCCTTTCATCTTTGTATTATTTCTTACTCACTTTTTAATCTGTTTTCTTGTTTACCCTTAACTTCTCGTATATTTCGTTGTGTTTTTCCTGTTAGGTTTCGTAGGGTTGTATATTGTCTTCGTAGGTCGTTTTCTTTAACATCTTATTTATACAGTTTCTTTTTTTTCTGGCTTGTTTTTACTTCTGCTTTTTTGCCTTGTATTTCCTGTCAAGTGACTTCTCTTTTTGCGATCTTTAGTTTTGCAGGATTTCTACTTTAATTTTTTCCTTTGTTTTATCAGTTTTATATATCTTTAGTTAGTTTTATAGCATCTTTAGTTATCCATTTTTTATGTTCCCTTCTTTTCAATCTGATTATTTCATTCGCTGTATTTATCATTACTACTTTAAAATGCTTCAATGTTTCTTCGACTGATTATCCACTTTGTTGTGATACAGTTTTGTTGATTGCCAGTTTCTTCAATTTCATTTTTAGTTTCGATTTGACTAGCATGTGGTCTATCCCCATATCAGCACCTACTAAGCTTCTGGCATCTTGCAACCAACTTCTCCATTTATATTCAA